AAGCCTCAAGCCTCAAGTTAAAAAGATAAGGCTATCGAGAGACCTATTTAAGAATGTCATGACATCATAAATTGAAGTACAAACTGGGTGTGGGGTTACCTGACTGTAATTCCAGTACTCTGGGAGGCCGAGGACAGAGAACTGTAAAGTTTAGCCTAGTCTGGGCAATTTAGCAAGACCCTGGCCCAAACAGATAAACCCTCAAAAACAAATCAAAGTAGAAACATGGAATCGATCACTCATTCGATTTAGAGAGAGGGATGTATAGTACTTTCCTGTGGCTGTCGTGACAAATAGCAAATTATCACAAAGTGGTGGCTTAAAATAGCAGAAATGTGCATTTTGCTTTTTGGCACTGAAGATTGAATCTAGAGCCTTTAAACTGAATTACAACCCCAGCCCTTTTTGTTTTTTATTTTGAGACAGTGTCTCACTGAATTGCCCAGGCAGGCCTCCAACTTGCAATCCTCCTGCCTCAACCTTCCAAAGTATCTGGGGGATGACAAGCCTAAATGACAGTAAGCCCAGTAGGTATTTATTTATTTACTGATACTGGAAATTGAAACTAGGGCCTCTGCACTGAGCCACAACTCCGGTCTAATTTGATTTTTTTTTCCTTTTTCCTTCCCCAGGTCCTAAAGCCTGGGGGGTAGGTTCTGTACATGAGTGTGGCTACTCAGGGGCGCTGCTTCCTTGTGCCTGTCTCTAGCCTACTCCATCATGCCTACTCCATACCCATGCCCTTCCCTCCACATGTCCCCAACTTCCCCTCACCTTCCCACGCCTTCACTCATTTTTCCCACAGATTTTAATGCCATCTCATACTTTCCCACATCATCCCACACTTTCCTTCCTAATGTTTTTACTTTATTTTATTTTATTGAGACAGCATCTCTGTATGTACTTCAGATTAGCTGTGAGCTCACTTTGTAGCCCAGGGTGGCCTCCAAGTCATGGTGAGTCTCTACAGGCTTGCCCCACTATCCAGACATTCTTTTTTGAGACAGGGTCTCCCTAAATTACTAAATTTCATGGGCTAGGCTTGAACTTGTGATTCTCCAGTCTCAGCCTTCCATAGTACTGAGATTGTAGGAATATACCACCATGTCTGATGACAGCTATGGTTTTTTTTTAAAAAAAATAGATCTTTTATAGCTAGAAGTTTAACATCTGTTTCACCAGGCCTCTGGTGTTAGCAAGACCCTGCTCACTTCAGAAACTCTAGCGGAGCCAGGCAAGATGGTACAAGCCTGTAATCCTAGTACTTAGGAAGCTGAGTCAGGAGGATCACGAGTTCAAGTCTCTTTTGGGCAACTTGGCAAGACTTTGCCTCAAAATAAAAAGTAAATATGGCTTGAGATGTTCCTTAGTGTAAAGACTTTGAATTCAATCTTCAGTACCACCAAAAAGGAAAAAAAACAACAACTCTTGGGAGAAGCTCTTCCTGTTCTCTTCCAATGTCTATAAGTACTAGCATCCCTTTGCTTGTGAATAAGTTAATTCCCATATCAACCTCTATGATCATATTGCTTTCTCCTGTTCTGTGTAGATGAAATCTCTGTCTCTCTGCTGTGAATTTCTTGTGGTTGGGTTTAGGATCCTCCAAGCAATTCATGATAATCTCTGTTTCCCTAATGCAAGAACCTTAATCAAATCTGAATAGATCATGCTTCTGTATAACATTAACATTTACAAGTTCATTACAACATCAAGAACAGCAACAGCAGGCTGCTAGTTAGCCTACCATGAGAAGTTTGAATCAGTTTAGACCACACCTCTAAATGAGATACTTGGTTCTCATCTGTTTGCTTTTGCTATTTGTTTTCAATTATAAAATAATTATTGCTCATTGTAAGCCATTAAATACAGTATAGTTGAAGAAAATAAAGGGAAATAAAATAATTAAATAAAAAATTACCTCCAGCCAGGGCTAGCCAGTTCCTTATCTAAGTGCATTTTTCTAGGCTGGGTCTTATGCTATCGAAGAGGAATAACAGGAAAAAGAACAAAAGCAAATAGGTTAGAACAAGCAATTTGGAAGGTAATGAAATAAATTAATATTGCTCTTAATGAATACATACAGTAAAGCTTAATTTAAGGTGAATGTAGACCTTGCAAACAAAATTAGGGCAGAGGTGCTTGCTTGATGTATGCAATTAATGCTAATACCTTTAGAGGTTATAAATTTAAAGGGCTACTCACTTGAGCCCCTGAGTTTTCCCATAACAAGGACCTGATCACTCCCTGAAGTCAGACTGTGGCCTGCTAATCTGCCCTGACATAGGCTCTTCTTGAGTCCTTATCAGTCTTCCTCAGTGGGTCAATGTTATGAAAACTTGGGGAGTCTGGGAGAGTTCTGCCCCCTCCCAGGCTGCTATCAAAGGGCACCAGGGGCCATGAGGAAAGCAAACATTCAGACCAAAGCCAGATGTGGAACTGAAGCAGCAAAAGGAAACACAAGAACATCAGGTAAAAAAATATTTTTAAAAAATCTCATTTATCTTATTTTAGGTGCAATTTATGTCTGAGAACATGAGTGGGTTATTATAATAGTAACTAACTTCTGAAAGAAAATGAGTAAGAACTTCTGGAAAGGGTAGAAGGATACTCACATGGACCTAGAATCTCAGAATACTGTCTGGTTTTATGGTTGTTATCAGTATCCAGGTGCCATCAGTGAGATGTAGGAGTCATGAATTATGGGGTCTGCTCGTTCAGTACCAGTTAGATGCATGTTATGGGTCCCATCAGTGAGGAAGTTATGGGAAGACAAATTGCAGCTGAAGATTAAGATATTTCGAACAACAAACTAACATAAAACATAATGAACTGCTTTAAAAGCTATCACAGGGCTGGGGACTTGGCTCAGTGGTTCCACTGCCTGCCTCACAACTGCAATGGCCCAACTTCGATCCCTGGTACCAAATAAATAAATAAATAAAATAAAAGCTATCATAAAATAGAATTAACTATTTTATAAAATAACACATTACTAGCTGTCAGAAAATAAAATGTACTGCTTTTTTTTAACCATGAGAATAAGTTTATTTTGCAAGTGATTTTTTTTTTTTTTTTTTTGGTACTGGGGATCGAACTCAGATCCTTGCACTTGTGAGGCAGACAGCAGAACCACTGAGCTAAATCCCCAGCTTGCAGGTGATTTTTAACTCTTTTACGACAACTTCTCCACACTGTTATATAACTCTATCTTTTTTTCCCCCCACACTTTTAAAAACATTCAGTAGAATTTGTCGGGATTTAAAAGAGAAAAAAACATTCTTTCAGCTGAATAATATTAGGTTTGATGTAGAGATTATGAAGTTTTTGAATATCCGTGGTGGTGCACGCCTGTAATCCCAGCACTTGGGAGGCTGAGGCAGGAGGATCGCTGTGAGTTCAAGACCAGCCTGGGCTACATAGTGAGTTCCAGGTCAGTCTCAACTACATAGCGAGATGCTGTCTCAAAAAAAACAAAACAACAACAAAAAAAAGATTTAAAGCTTTTGGGCTCATATGTATTTGTAACCTTGATGTCCAAGTAGGAAAATATCTTTCATAAACTGCAACAAAGTTTTCTATTAAAAATAAAACACTCTGAATCATATACAATTATATCTATTTCCAACAGCTTTAAGATTAGAATGGATTGCTTTAAAAGATAGTGCATTACTAGTCACTGGAAATGTTCATTTCTGGGGATTTGGGAGTATTACAGAAGGGGTTTAAGAATTGGGTGGTTGGGCTGGAAGATTTGTAAAGTTGCTTCCAATACTTGTGTGATTCTATGATATCAAGATGTTATTTATCAAGGGTCAGTAAAATATCACATTTATGTGGGAGATACTCACAGACTGGAAGAGAACTCTTCAGGTAGATTCTGGTCTGTATGAAGGAAGTGAGAAGGTGACCAAGAGCAAATTAACATCAGAGGAGGGTACATGTCCTGTTGGATGCCCGCTCTTCCTTCTGAGGATAAAGATCATCCACAGGGACTTTGCTTGGCAAGCATCACACAGCCAATGACAGGTGCTCTTCTCCCAGGGCTTGACCTTTGGCTTGCATTTGTAAATATTTTGTTTTGCAAATAATCGAAGCCAAGGGGCTTCTTTCTGAAATATTTGCTTCAGACCTCTAATTCCAATTTAAGTGGCTGTTCTGTGGTCTATGAAGCAAAAGGAGGGCTAGCCAGTTGAATGACCATGCCCCAAAGACTCGTGTTGTTTTCCAAGTTTTAGAGCTTCCCATAGCACAGACAGGTTCTTAGAAAGAAAGGAAGATTCCTACTTCCTCATCACATTATACAAAAGGAAATGCATTATTTAGAATTTATAAGAATGTGTGAAGAGCGAAAAAAAAGATTTCTGCATTTGGTATTTATTGACAATATTTCGGAAGTAGAATAAGCCTTTTGATTTGTTTTGTTTTTTGGTTAAGAACATTGCCCTTTCTAGGACATATTAGCTACAAAAAATTGAAAGAAAAAACCACACATACCTACACACAGATAAACCACATTGCCCTTACACTCCATAAATCTTATGACAATTGTTGTTTGGAAATACTACACAGATATTTCCAGAGTAGATAATGTACACATTTGAAAGATATTTCACTTGTGTTTGTTTATTTTTTCTTATTCTGGTATTTTACCGGTAGATTTCTCTTTAGAATAAAGCATTTATTTATTTATTTTGTTTTTTTGAGACAGGGTCTAACTATGTAGTTGGGACTGACCTGGAACTCACTATGTAGCCCAGGCTGGTCTCGAACTCACAGTGATCCTCCTGCCTCAGCCTCCCGAGTGCTGGGATTACAGGCATGTACCACCATGCCCAGCTAGAATAAAGTTTTCAAATGTATTAAAAATAGGGCTGGGGATTCAGCTCAGTGGTTCTGGTGCCTGCCTCACAAGCACAAGAACCCTAGTTTGATCCCTGGTACAAAAAAAAAAATGTATAAAATAACACAAAATACACAAATTATATATCTTATTTTAATTAAAATTTTAGTTTTTCTTAATGCCTGTTTGTGGTACATAATCATTACATTAATGACATGGATTTGATATATGTACATAGCACATCTTAATCTTTTTTTTTTGGTACCAGAGATCAAACTCAGGACTTTGTGTTTGCCATGCAGGCGCGAGCACCACTGAGCTAAATCCCCAGCCCTCATCTTAGTTCTTTTTATGTCTTCTTCTCCATTTTATAATTTTCATTTTTATTAGTACATGTTTGTAGTACATGATGATTACATTTTGTTGCAAAGCTATATGTCTTTCTTTTTTTTTTTTTTTTTCAGTACCAGGGATTGAACTCAAGACCTTGCGGTTGCCAAGCAGGTGCTACTAAAATTATATGTTTTAATATCAAGATCTATAATACATATATTCCTTCGTTCTTTACTACTCTTTGTTTCTCTTTGGAATTATAAGTAGGGGCATCTTCTGATTTCAACTTCATTTCTGCATATTCTCCAATAGCTTGCTTTGGCTCCTTGCCAACCCATGCCCTTTATTTCTGGGCTCAATGTAGTTGTTTCCAGATTTTCAGTGAAACTGGCTGACAATGTCAGCAATATAAGCTTTCATTATGGCAAAATGTTAATCATTCACTTTTATCTATGAGTAAGCTTGAGAGGAAGGCTAAAGATGTTTGACAATGTTGATAGAAAACAGTAACCTCAAATACTACCTCCGATGTTAAAATGTATCTCCAGTAATTTATGGCTTTGAAGAAAATATTGTCTTTTCTGTGTTCTCACTGATGTGGAAACAGCATTTCTCTTTTGATTATTTGCAGGAGCATATTTCTGCTACTCATTGAGGAACAGCGGGGCTGAGATGGAGAGTCGCGAGACTGATGCAGAAGTGGTCTATGCTGAGTTCATCGTAAAAGTGGGCAGAATTACTTTTGGAGAAGAAAACAGGAAGAAGATGACCGATGCCTGTCTGAAGAGGACTGAGAATTCAAAAATCATCCAGGCTATCTGCGCTCTGCTAAATTCTGGAGGGGGTGTGATCAAAGCAGAGACTGATGAAACCTATAATTACCAGCTGCATGGGCTGGGGCTGGATTTGGAAACTTCGTTTCAAAAGCTTCTTCCCTCGGGCTCACAGAAATATCTGGACTACATGCAGCAGGGACAGGAGCTCCTGATTTTTGTAAAGTCCTGGAGCCCGGATGTTTTCAACCTCCCACTGAGGATTTGCAGTTTGCGTTCCAATTTATATCAGAGAGATGTAACCTCTGCTACCAACTTGAGTGCCAGCAGTGCCCTGGAGCTTCTAAGAGAGAAGAAATACAGAGCTCAAAGAGGCAGGCCAAAGTTGCATCCTCAGAAAGTTCTCCAAAAATATGTTCAGAAAGAGAAAGATATGAAGACACCTGCCTTGGAATTTTTAAAAAAGGATAAACTCATATATAAGGAGAAGCTCAACTTTACAGAATCAACACATGTTGAGTTTAAAAGGTTCACTACCAAAAAGATTGTACCTCGGATTAAAGAGATGCTGCCTCGTTATGTCTCTGCTTTTGCCAACACTCAAGGGGGACACCTAATTATTGGGATTGATGATAAGAGCAAAGAAGTGTTTGGGTGTAAGAGAAAGTGAACCCTGACTTATTAAAAAAAAAAATAGAAAACTGCATAGAAAAACTGCCCACGTTCCACTTCTGTTATAAGAAGCCCAAGGTGAATTTCACTACCAAAATCTTGAACGTGTACCAGAAAGATGCCCTGCATGGCTATGTCTGTGTGGTTCAAGTAGAGCCCTTCTGTTGTGTAGTGTTTGCAGAGGCCCCGGATTCCTGGAACCTGAAGGACAACTCCGTCACCAGGCTGACAGCTGAGGAGTGGGTAGTCAAGATGCTGGATATTCAGTCTGGTAAAGAGGGAAATCATTGTTCAATCAGCAGGGAAGAGACTCTCTCTCTCTCTCTCTTGTATTCAGACATACATTCTAAATAAAAATAGAATTTATTCTTGTTTATAAAGGTTTTCTCATGATAGGGAAGTAATATTTTTAGTTCCAAAAATTCAGAACATAAACTCTTTGATGTCAAGAAATGCTTAGATTTCAACATGTTTTGGTTTTGTTTTTTTGTTCATCTGTATTGAGATAGGCTGTCCTTGAACTCACTGTGTAGCCTAGGCTGGCCTCAAACTCAACTCACAGCAATCCTCCTGCTTCAGCCTCCTAAAAGCTGGGATTACACGTGTGCCCCACCACACCTGGTAATTTCAGTCTGTTTTGGGAAAGTTGTAGGGCACATCATCGGCCATGGATTAGGAAAGTTTTCTTTTATGCACTGTAAAGACCCGTTGAAAAAAGTTTGCAGGCTGATTTTCCTAGTTTAAATAGAAAGTCTCACTCCTTTAAAGACGACCTTCAGAAAAACATCATTTAAGAATGATTGCACCAAATCTTTCAAGGGATACATTTTTGACAAATGTGAACTATTTTAGTAATATTAGGAGCTGATGCTTTCATCACTGGGCTTGGGGAAATGATGCAGAAGGTGATATGATGATACGGTGTGACACTGGACGAGGGAGGCCCTGGTGCTTTTACTCCTTTACAGTTTTGTTTGGAATCAGCCTTGGTGATCCCTAACCCATTTGTACATGTCTTATAGACTGAACTAAATTTATGAGCTCGTCTTCGCAGTCAGTATGTTCCAAATTTGATAAAAGAAGCTTCGATTATTAGATCAAGACTCAAGTGATTAGGGAATTTTATTGGACTTTTTTTCTTGGCCTAAATTTGGTCCTAAATCCTCTTTCCCCCAAATGAGTGATTCTATAATGTCTCCACCTAACCTTGGATGGGGAAATTAACAATAATTGTAACAATAAAAGCAACTTGTGCTTAATCTTTCTAACTCCCACAGGATGTCTTTTCCTCTTAGAGATGACCTGGATTAAGATACTAGTGTTGGAAGGGAATTCAGCGATTATCATTTCACTCTTGCATGAGAGGTGAAATGATCCATCCGAGATGAGTCATTCAGAGAGTTCAAATATGCATGACTCCTGCAGCAGCCCCCAGACATCATTTCCTGACGTGCAAACTGAAGTATAGCAAGGGTGACAGCAACTCAGACACCATACGCATCTCATGTCTCTGCTAGGAAGGATGCTGAAGAGTCCTTTTACTTTTATTTTTGTCTGATCCAACTTTCCATGCAATTGTCCAGCTCCTTCCAGTCTGGATGAAATCTACAGTACTAACCTGCTCTCATCAGCTTCATCTTCACTGAGAAGCCCAGCATATGCCATAAACGTCCTGAAATTTAAGAGGGCTCTGCAACAACATTTGTTTCCAGGTATTCCTTCTTTATTTCAGTGGAGGGGACTATTTGTTTTATAAAACTAAGTTGTGGGTTGGGGATGCGACTCACGGGTAGAGCATACGGGTAGCATGTGCAAGGCCCTGTGTTCAATCCTAAAGAATGGGGGGAAAAAACTTTGGAGGAATTGGTATTTCTTCTTAAAGAAAGCCAAATTTAGGACTTAGCAGACATCCTGGGGAAAAATACATTTTATTTCCCAGTCACTAAATCCCTACTGTACCTCTGTGGGCTTTTGGACTTCAGGTCACAGATTGCATTTGTTCTCCAAATTTGAGAGTGCCGAGTATTCCTTGGTTCTCTATTGAAACAGAATTACCACCTCACTTTCAGTAGAGAAGAAGCCATGGGGTCACCTGAACCCGTGAGCTTCTTAACCTGAGTGCTATTGACATTTGAGTCAAATAATCCTTTGCTGGGAGAAGGAGGTGTGTTCTGTGTATTGCAGAGTTTTAGCAGCATTCTTGGCCTCTACCCACTAGATACCAGTAGCATCCCTCCAGGTGTAGGAAAAAATCCTCCAGACATTGTCAAATGTCCTCTAGACAGGGGACAAAATTGCCTCTGGTTAAGAATCGCTATCATCAAGGAATGTTCTTAGTTTTCCAAATGATGCATTGGGTTCACAAAGAACCCTTAACAAGGAGTTCCTTGCCAGCACTCATGGACCTGGGTTGAGGAAAAGGTGCTAGGAGGCTGTTCTTTGATGAACCCTCCTCGTGCAACAGCTATCAGAAATGCTAACGGATGGTATCCCTGGGCTGTAAAGAGGGGTTGTTCTCTTGGCAACCAGGAAATCCCTCTTCCTGCTCTGATGCAGAAATACTCTGTACTTTTTAAAAGTTTTGGTAACTACTTGTCTTCCTTGAATTTTCAGTGACGCAGGAAGAAATACATTTTAAACCAGAATCCCTCTGTAAGAAGCTATTCTCAGATCATAAGGGACTGGAGGAATTGATGAAGACACAGATACACCCTTGTTCTCAGGGGATTGTAATATTTTCGAGAAGCTGGGCTGGTGATATTGGCTTAAGGAAAGAGCAGAAGGTTCTGTGTGATGCTCTGCTAATAGCAGTTAACAGCCCCCTGGTACTCTATACGATCCTAACAGACCCCAGTTGGATTGGAGGACTTGGATATGCCCAAGACACAGCTTGTCAGCTAAAGCACAAACTGCAAACTGTCGGTGGCTACACAGGGAAAGTGTGTGTCATTCCCAGGCTGATGCACCTGGCCAGCACCCAGTGTAGACCTGCGGAATGTCTCGTGCACTACCCCCAATCCTACAACCTTGCCAATGAGCATGAAATGGAGGACTTGTTACAGGCCCTTGTGGTCGTCTCGCTGTGCTCTCAGTCTTTTCTGAGTGACCAGCTGGGTTGTGAGTTTTTCAACCTGCTTGTGGCAGAGCAGTGTGAATTGCTGTCCAAGAGCCTTCAGGAAACCCGGGAATTGTTCATCTACTGCTTTCCAGGAACCAGGAGGACAGCCTTAGCCGTAAAGATCATGGAAAAAATTAAAGACTTGTTCCGCTGCGAACCAAAAGAGATCCTCTATGTCTGCGAAAGTGACTCCTTACGGGATTTCGTGACGTAAGGGTTTTACCATTTGAACTTTAAAAAATGTATTCAGTCTTTTCAATAGAGCCACAAAAGTGACTTGTGTTTTCAGTTTCAGTCTATATAGTATCTCTTTGCTGCATAAGGGCAAGAGGCCTAATCAAATATATATTTCCAAATTATCAGGTAGTTGAGGTACAAATGGGTTATTTATTTATTTATCCATTACTGAGGATCAAACTCAGGACCTTGCACTTGCGAGGCAGGTGAGGTGCCGCTGAGCTAAATCCCTGGCCTGAAATCAATAATTTATAATGTTTGAGCTTAAACATTTCATTATAAGTAAGCCAAGTAAGCATAACTTTAAATTTATAAAACTAGGAATATTTTCCCCACAGTCCATGGCCTTAAATCTAAGAAAAAAGGAGAAATAAAGCTATTTTGCTTTAAACTCTTTTTTTTTTTTTTGGTACCAGGGATCAAATTTGGGACCTTGCACTTGTGAAGCAGGCGGCAGCACCACTGAGCCAAATCCCTAGCTCTAACCACATTTTTTTTTTGACACAATGTTTGAAAGTCATAAGGTTAGTCACTATACTTAGCAGGAACTTGAGTTTAAATATAATTTATTTATTCATTCATTCTTTGTTTTTGTTTGTTTGTTTGTTTTTTGAGACAGCAGTCTCCTTATTTGTTCACGCTGGTCTTGAACTCACTATGTAGCCCAGGCTGGCCTCTTGTGGAAATCCTCCTGACTCAGCCTCCTAAGTCCTGAGCTTACGGGTGTGCATCAGCATGCCTGGATAAATACAATTTAATTTTGTTTATAAAATATTTTCATCTGTTTGACTTATTCTGAATAATTTTAAGAAAGCATGCCAACTTGGTTTTGATTTAAAATCTCTAGCTTTTCATTCAGCAAAATAATTTGTTCATCATGCAATTTAGGAGATGAGGGCAAAATAATTTTGATTTTTTTTGCCTGATTTACATATTTTGCATCTTTTTTTTTTTTTTTTTTTGGTACCAGGGATTGAACTCAGGACCTTGAGTTTTTGAGGCAGGTGTGGTGCCACTGAGCTAAATCCCCAGCCCTCAACAAATCTATTATAGTAGAATTTATATATTAGTCATTGGATTGCCTGACATTTAGTGTTAGAGGGGAAAACATAATGAAGACCTTGCCATTAAAAAAATAATACAAAGCTGGGCACAGTAGCCCATGCATATAACCACAGCTATTTGGGAAGCAGAGGTAAGAGGACCACCAGTTCAAGGGCAGCCTGTACAACCTGGCAAGACCCTGTTTCAAAATGAAAGGGGGCCCGGGGTTGTAGCTCAGTGATGCCGCTGCTTGCCTCACAAGCACAAGGTCCCAAGTTTGATCCCTGGTTAAAAAAAAATTAAAATGAAAGGGGCTTGGAATAAATAAAAATAAAAGGCTTTGTGCAAGGCTGTGGGTTCAATTCCTAGTACTGCAAAGAAAAAAATAGCAAGTGTTGTATAGTGATAAAGACATCGTTATTTTAACTTAGACTAGAGGTGGCTTAGTAAATACTCTTTATTGAAGGAGACCCTTGGGCACACTATTTAGAAACAGGTAGGAGGAGTAGATAAACAGAGAAGGCTTTTTTGACAAAGAACACAGCCAATTCAAAGACAAAGAGACTATAAAATTGGAATGCGGAGACGACTGGAGCGGTGCTGAAATATGGTTATACGGTAGGAATGTTGGAAAGGAGGTGGATGCCAGATTATAAAGGATCCTGGAAGCTGTGCTAAGGATAAGTTTTTAATTAAGCTTTATGGTTAAATAAAAAAAATTTCCCCAGTCAACATCTAATGTGAAGGGGAAACAGAGATGGGTCAAAAATCACTGCTTTTCTTCAAGAGCCTACAGAGTCCAAACCAAAAGAGAAGAATATAAGCAACTATGAATCATTGCACAGGGAGTAAAGGCCTAGGAACTGCTTATGTGAAATCAAGGGTTCTGTAAGAAGGCATGCTATTATCTGGACCCAAATTAGATCTGGAAAGAAACAACCAAATCTGTTAAGAGGGAAATAGGAAAATCGAGCTAAGAGAAGAATAACCTTATAGATTTGTTGTTCTTTTTAATGAAACTCAGCAACCTTTTAGTGCTTTCCTTAGCAAAGCTTACAGAAGTTTCTAGTTTTACACTTCAAGTAAATGAGGAAATAAGTTTGCTTTAAAGGAATTTGAATGGGCTCATAGCTCTTTTGAATATAAAGATCACGAATATGCCTTTAGGTAGCTATTCTCCAACTCTACAAAGGACAGAAAGTGAAGAAGTGGCCATAATGGATGTTACTTTTGATATTTCCTTTAGCCATGAGGATTTTATCTTTGGGGACAGTGAAGGCCCAGAAATAGATTACTAATAGAAACAATAAATTCTTCTACTTATTTTATAATAATGAAAGTTCCATATACAGATTTAACTAGATAACCCTATGGAGTCGAATGTAAAACTCCACATTCTATCAGGAAACTTGTAAGTAGAGCAGTTCTGTGGTGTTCAGACTTGACTGGGCAGCCTGTGGGGAAGAATTAACCTCTGATTTCACTACAGAGATTAATAAATGCTAGCGTTTTCTTTGTTTATAAGCCTACAACACTGTTCTATCTTTCATTCTTACAGCCAACAGACCACCTGCCCAGCTGTGACCCGGCAAACTTTCATGCGAGAGGAATTCCCAAAAACTCAACACATAGTGATGGATGAGACTGAGAATTTCCGCAGTAAAGATGGGAATTGGTACATAAAAGCTAGGAGCATCACCCACCCAAAGGTGGAGGGGGCTGGAAGTAAAAACCTTCACCATGGGATCCTCTGGCTTTTCCTGGACCCTTTCCAAGTCCATCATACAGATGTCAGTGGCATTCCTCCTCCTTCTGCTCAGTTTCCTAGGAAAACGATCACCAATGGGGTCCACTGTGCTCTGGAAATAGCAAAGGTCATGAAAGAAGAAATGAACAGGATCAAAGAAAAACCTCCTTCCAACATGTCTCCAGATATATTAGCGCTGTTCCAGGAAGCTGCCTATGAGGAAGCCATGTGTGCCCAGGCTCTGCCTGGGGTATATGAGACAAAGACCAACCTGACAAAAGATCAGATAGCCAACTATGTGGCAGAAAGATGTCACAGCTTGTTCCAGTGTGGCTATCTACCCAAAGATGTGGCAATTTTGTACAGCAGAGGAGAGGACCGAGGACATTATAAACCTGCACTGCTAAGAGCAATGAAATTAATTAAGATCCACGGAGCAATAGAGGTTGTATTCAGCCAGGCTGCTGGTGTTCGGGGCGATCTCATTGTTTTAGACAGTATTCATCAGTTTTCAGGCCTGGACAGGAATATCGTGTTTGGGCTCAGTCCAGAGTGCCCCCAGTCAAAGGAGATTTATAAACTCTGGTTTGCCTCAAAAGCCATTAGACACCTCTACCTGCTTTATGAAAAGGGGGATCCCTTCTGCAAATCATTATGAATAACACAGAAAGCCAGGGACAGTAGAGTGTCTCCTTCCGGGCAGCTACTCCTTTTTACTATTATAAGGAAAGACTGAAGGCACATCAGTATGACCTGGAGCCACAGAAACGTCTCCTAGGGCAGGTCCTTCACTCCCAGATCACTTCTCCTCCATGTCCAATTGTAGCAGACTTATAATTGGTCCCTTGCTTCCTAGCCCAATTCAATTTTCACCTTGTCATTCAAATAACTTATCCTCAAGTAGAGAACTGCTTTTATGTAATTCTCCGCTAGCATACCACCAGTGCCCCAACTTTCAGACCAAATCAGCTTCCCAGGCTGTGATGTGCTCTGACTTACTCTCCTAACTACACCTTTGGTTTCAACTTATCTTCAAGTATTTCTAATGCACCCCAGCCTCACTGGCCTTTTTTGCACATGGTGGTAAGGTGCCCTCCAGTTTAATTATTTGACTCAATATCTCAAGAGCAGCTCCTAGCATCCCATATTACCATAGGTCTCAAGCATTACAGGTCAGGGACTTTATTTCTTCTTTTCAAGTTTAGGTCTCTCAGGGAAGGCCACTCTGTTAATTTACAGTGAGGATTGTGGTAATAAGTGAGGAAGGGGCTTTTGCTAATCTCTGCATTCCTGGAACAGCCCTCCACAAAAATGAAAGGCCCGAGTCTTCATGTGGACAGTAATTTATTTGATTTTATGTTGAGAAAAGGATCGCATATACTTAGAATATTTGTGACTTTAACCTACTCGGTTATTTTCAGTTTCTAGAAGTTTTCTCCCAAATCAATATGATTGCTCAAATAACTTAAACAGCAGGAAATGTTTCCAGAAAAACATTTTCTACACTGAGAAACTTTGAAAAATTGAACTTTCATTGCAAAAGCTATTTAATGACATTACAGAAAGATTAAAAAATAGAGAACCACAAAAGAAAACTCATCCCTATTTTTACCACGGCACATGCAGTTGTTTTTTCGTCTTTGCTTGTTCACTTCTAGTGTCAGTCTGTTGGCAGATGTATTTCTGCTGAGTTGCAGTCATGGTGTCCATTCTAGTTTGTGCCCTGTTTGAGTTGATCATCTGGTGGCTCTTTCCCATTTTGCAGTCTCTCATATGGTGAGCAGAGGCATTTTCCATGGTGTACTCTAGGGAGAGATGGTTCTCAGTTCCTTTGAGCAGGGAAGGGTGATTCTCAGCACAGCAGGGCCTCTTGTGTTCCAGCTGGTGTCCTGGTGCAACCTGAACTCAAGCCTTTGAAGGAGAAGAGGATGATGGGTAATCAGAGCACAGAAAAAGCTCTTCACAAACTCCATAACACATGGAGATAATGTAGAGCACAAACACTTTGGGGGACTCTGACAAAGTGACACAGGATGGTCACATCCTTCTCTCGCTTCCCGTAGCTCCCTGTAAGAAATGGGCATGAGTGTTGTAGCTCTTGTTGAGGAGTGGCACTTGCCAGGTGCAGGACCCAAGAGCTCTGTAACAGAAACACTCTGTGTGCTCAAAGCTACTACAGAGTGGCAGAATGTGTCACCCCAAAATGTGCCATTATTGCATTAGTTTGAACTAAAGGTAGATACAAGAATGTCTTCCAAATCTTTTCTCTTTCTGAGCACTGGAGACAAAAATTCCTATGTGAAAGATGCCCTATTTGTAGAAAAGAATCATTCTTTGATGGAAATCACAGCTAAAAAGTTCTGTATATACAGATCTTGTTGAATTTTTTTCTTTTCTTTCTTTTTCTTTTCTCTATTTTTTTTTTTGTATTGAAGATTGAGGCCACAGCCTTATGAATGCTAAGCATGCTCTCCACCATTAAGCTACACTACCAACCCTCAAATAATTCTTATCGTTGTTGTTTTGATTTTATTTTGGTACCAAGGATTGAACTCGGGCCCTTGCACTTACAAGGTAGGCAGTAGAAGCACTGAGCAAATTCCCTGGCCCCTTATCTTTTTTGCTTCCACCCATAATTTCATTTCTGTTATCACTCTTTCTTTAACCTACTATGTTAGCATTCAGGTTTTATCCCTCTTTAGATTTTCATTTTCTGATGGGGACTCCTAAGTGTGTGTACAGATCTGTATGGTTAGGGCTGGGGGTGCAGATCATTGGTAGAGCCTTTGTCTAACATTCACGAGGGCATGAGTTTGATCTACACACACACACACACACACACACCTGTATGCTCTTCTCCTGTTCATCTGTCACATGTCAAATTCTCAGACCCAGCCCCAAACCCTCAGAGGGTAGAGGTCAAATTTTGCCTCTCCTACAATTTCTGGCAATGAGGTTGGGATCCTGAAAGATTGGTATGCCCTTCTTACTCTGGAGGCTGTGAGTGGGATCCTGAGTAAGACAAGAAAAACCAATAGAAGGTTAAGAATTGTTACTAAAGTCAATTTTCCCACATCCATGTCTGTGGTGCCCAGTAAAAGCAGGAGTGTAAAATTTTTTTCTTGTCCCCTCCTTTCCGAAATCACATTCAAAAGAGAAAAACGTTTTTAAGAATTAATTATTTGAATTGTGACTCTTGGGAATTAGGTTCTAGGTATGATTCACAGACTCCAAGGATTATCCTTGTTTTCCTTTCCTCTGTCTTTTGTCATTAGGAGGAAAATTATGAGAATCTTCCATCATCTTGCCTTGTGTCCTGAGAGCTTGGCCTTGTGACCAGTGAGGTCGTTCTCTCTGGTCTCCTCCAAGGGGTGGAAATGTTGGCTCTCAGAGGGTGGCCAGCTAAATAGGCTGGAAGCACAGGGCATAAAGTTACAAGCAGTAAGCTCTCTCTCTGTCCACTTGTGCCAGAAGTCTTAATAAGCTTATAAACTCATCTCGTGATTTGTCAGGGTTTCCTGAAAATCTTTCAATTTTTTCCTTCCATAGTCTCAATTCTGTTGTGAATGGGGGGACATACTCCCCAGAGAGACACTCCTCCCATTCTCCACTGGTTACTTCTTCTAAAGAAAGCTCCAAACTCAAAAGAAAGCTCCAGCAGATGGTTTCAGTTTTGTTTTTGTTTTTTCGTTTGCTTGTTTGTTTTTGGTACTGGGGATTGAACTTGGGTCCTTGTGCTTGCAGGGAAGGTGCCGGAACCACTGAGCTAAATCCCCAGCCCTCAGTTTTGTTCTTGAATGAAGCCCCATAAGAGAATTTAGGGCTGACTTCTTGGGATAGGGCCATGGGGCAGAAAGGGAGGATACTGGGAAGGCAGAGGACTGGGGTCTGGCTGCCCTGAATCTGGTCTCACTCAAGTGAGGGGGAGCTTGTAGAAGTGGGTCACGTAGAAAGTCTGCCTACTTTCGTGGAGGATTTTGATAACAAGCAGAAGCCAAACAGACTCTGTAGGAAACTCTGCGTTCAGGATCTTGTTATATGTTCATAAATGTGTGCCATAAGGAACTTCTCCCACATTGTCCTTATCTTTTTCAGTAGAGAACTACCCATAAAATGGTGTTGAAATTAAAGGAGCCACTGAGAGGCCATCCCGCCTGGCTATCAAGAGCATATTGAGCTGGTCGTGGTGGCACATGCCTGTGATCCCAGCACTTGGGAGACTGAGGCAGGAGGATCGCCGTGACTTTGAGGACAGCTTGGGATACATAGTGAACTACAGGTGAGACCTTGTCTGGAAAAAAAAAAAGCATATTGGGATTCTCAGTAGCTTTCAATAAAATAAAATACCGAGGGAATAATCTAAAAAGGAGATGAAAGAACACCTCAGAATACTAAAGAAATTGAAGAAGACACCAGAAGATGGGAAGACCTCTCGCACTCATTAATTGGCAGAATTAATATTGTCAAAATGACCATACTACTAAAAGTGATCTACAGATTCAATGTAATCCCCAGCAAAATACTAATGAATTTCTTCACAGAACTAGAAAAAACAATCCTAACATTCATTTGGAAATCCAAGAGACACAACATAACCAAAGCAATCCTAAGCAAATCCAGCAAGGCTGTGGGGAACCACAATACCCTATCTCAAATTATAGTACAGTGCCATAGTAACAAAACCAGCATGGTATTGGCCCCAAAATAGACATGTAGACCAGTGGATCAGAATAGAGGACATAGAAGCAAACCCACATGGCTACAGTCATCTGATTCTGGACAAATAACCCAAAAATATACATTCAAGAAAAGAAAACCTCTTTAACAAATGGTGCTGGAAAACCTGGATATCCATTTGTAGAAAAATGTAACTAGTTTCCTATTTCTCACCCTGTGTGAAGACCAGTTCAAAATCGAAATTTAGCATAAGACCTGAAAGTTTGAAACTGCTAAAAGAAAACATAGGGGAAACACTTGACGCCTTAAGCACAGGCAAAGACTTTCTGAATATGACTTCAGTAGCACAAGAAATTACAGCATGAGTCAGCAAATGGGAATACATCATAAAAATGTTTCTGCTTGGCAAGATAAATGATAAAGTGAAGAGAGAGTATGTAATGGGAGGAACATTTGCCAGCTACCTTTCCAACAGAGGGTTAATATCTAGAATATAAAAAGAACTCAAAAAACGACACCAAAAAAATCAAACAGCCCAATCAATAAATGAGCAAACGAATTGAATGGATATTGCTAAAAAAAAAAAAAGAAGAAGTACAGATAGCTAATGAGTATATAAAAAATGTTCAGCATCCATTAGAAAAACAAATCAAAACCGAATTGAGGTTCCATTTCATCCCAGTCAGAATGGCTGTCATCAACAATCCAAAAAGCAACCAATGCTGAAGAGAATGTACAGGTGGGGCAGGGTAGAGAGGAACCCTTCTACACTGCTGGTGGGAATGTATGGAAATCAGTATGGAGATTCCTGCAAAAACAAAAACTAGAGTTACTGTTTGATGTAGTTATACCACTTCTTAATATACATATACAAAATGATTAAATTCAACATACTATTAGAGATATCTACATACCCATGTTTATTGCCGCACAATTCAAAATAGCCTATATATAGAATCTGACTAGGTACCCATGAATTGA